AAGCTTTAAGGCAACAGACCTCCCAGGAGGTATTCCAGAAATGGTCACCATGCTGGGTCCTGCCAAAGAAGGCAGCAGGCACCCAAATCCAAGACGCAGGCAGCCACAGCCCAAGCTCTTTATTTAATCGTCTGAAACAAACAGGGTTTGGACCCTCCCTCCCCATGCATGCCACGCGCTCATGCTAAAATTGGCTTTCCTGGAGCATTGCTTGCTGCCTCAAGGAGACAAATGTGCTGTCTACAAATATCCGACGGGTTTTCTTGGCCTCTCCAAATACACACACACACACACACACATTATACATAAAATTCCACCATGCTGTGTGCCCATCCACCAAGATGTAAGACCATTACTGAGACTCACCTAGTCTGACTGTTTTGGGACCGGGCGACACTTCCTAATCTTTACACAAAGGGCTATTTCTTACTTTATACATCAAAGACACAGATGCGTTACTGATGGTCACGCTCCTCTGCTGGGAAACATCCTAAAGTGTTATGTGAGAATGACAGTAATACATGCAGTATGCTCAGAGAGAAATGCCTACAAAAGGCCCAAAGGACCTACATTCTTGGTCGCATATAAATAAAAATATAAGGGACCTCTCCTCATATACTGCACCAACACATCCTAGTTAAAGGTACAGAATGAAAATGACCATGCTATACCTTTCAAAGATTCCAATCAGCTCACAAAGACCAGATCACAGCAGCAGACTTATACTTCCCAAGACCAACTACTCCGACAGATATTTATTTACCTTTGTGTAATCTGCATGGGCTCCCCTTCTTCAAGGACATCTTCTGCAAACAGAACTTGGGAGGCCTAAGCAGAAAGAAAACAGTAAAAAAAAAAATCAAACCACCCAGCCCTTCATCTTCTTACTGATGGCTCGCTTCTTCCAAGTTAAGAGCTTTCAACATAAGATAAAAGGGCCTGAAGGCCATTCAGTCACAGAATCATAGCTGTAAGAAGCCAGATGATCATCAAGATCATCCTACAAAACCCTATCGCAAAGTGAAAGCTCCTACCCATATCCAGGCACATCACCCCGACTCCAATGAGCTAGAAGCAAACAAGGCACACTGTACTGAGGAAATCAGGTAGCAAAGGTGAAACAGGAATAGTAAGGCAGAGCCCTGAAAGCATTAAGCCTGAAGGGTTAAATTCAGAAGCAAAAACCTTGTGAAAGCCAGAACTGAGAAAGAAGCTGTCAAAAACTCACTGAGAAGCAGTTAGTTGCAACATTGTCCTCTAGCTGGAACATAAACACACAAAGGGATCTCCCGAGATGTTCCTAGAGCTCAGAGCTTAGAACTGAATACAGTAACGGTAAACTAGCTCGGCAGCAGAATTAGCCAATTGATTATAATATCAGGGAATGGATTACCATTAGGTGTTGATGGAAGTCATCGAACAATTAATTAAATAATGTGCTAACTGCAGAACTGTGTATAAATTACTATAAAAGTTGTGACTGAAAAATGGTTCTTTGAATCGGAGAATCCTCCCTCTCTCCCAGTCCAAGTGTTCTGCTCTCCTTATATAAATACAAGATTGAATCTCACCTGTTTGTTCTCTTTCAACATACCTGCTTCTTAATGTAAAAAAGTAGAAAGAATAATCTAGAAGTGGAAAGTAACGTTCTCTAATTTAATAATCTTAAATTCCTATCAGAACTATGACTTTTAATTATGATTGTGCGTGTCCATTTTTGCTTCCCCTCTTTTTCTTCTTCCTTCTATTTTCCTGCTTCCCCCCACCTGGCATCTCATCGTTTTCCTCTTCTTTCCTTTCTTCACTAGAATTGCTAATGGTTTTCACCTGTGTGATCTACCTTGGGTCGGTGAAAGAGAACATCCCACAATTAAGACCCATACTTTAGCAATCTACTTATCCCCCTCCCCCACATATAACAAAGTTCTTGCAGTGCTAACAGTGTTTTATGACTTCGGTAAGCTGCTACAGAGGGAAAGCATGAAGCCCTTGGTCAGGTCACCATCTAGTCCAACTTCTGTACTATTGAAGGATCCTCTACTCCTAGCAGTCTAAAGGATTTAAAAACAAAGAATACAGTGGAGGTGGGCTTAATTTTCGACGTCGAAGGTTTCGGTGCCGATCCCTCGGCATCGGAAGTTGGTGGTGCGGAAGACGCGGGAGGCGGTTCCGCCATCTCGGACATTGGTCTAAGGGCTGCTTCAAGCAAGGATATTTTTAAACGTGCTGCTCTGTTCTTCCTAGTTTGATTGGAGTATTGAGCGCAGTGTATGCAGGAGTCAGGATTGTGAGATTCCCCCAGGCAAAAGTACTTATGACCGTCTGGAGGAGCTAATTTACTCCTGCAGCACTTGCAGCGATTAAAAAAATCCCCACTTTTTTGTCTTCTCCTTTTTCTTCAACCGGGGGGAAAGAGAGAGACTGGGGGGGGGGCCACCGAGGGGGGGGGGGTAGTTGGGGGGGGGGGGGGGGGCGAACGGCCCGAAGGCCTGAGGTAAAAAAAATTTCCTCAGACGAACAAAAATAAGTAAAAAAAAATATTTTTTACGAAGTAAGAAGTGAGGTAAATGAAAAGAAAAGAAAAACTGTGAAGAAACTAAGAGCCTAGCGCTTAAACAGTGAGGTGAACAGTGATCCGACCAGACCGAGCAGACAAACGGTCTTCTCTCAGCGCGGCGGTAAGGAAAGAACTGGCGGGATGTCCACGCCCAGCCCCTTGGGCATGCGCAGTGGGGTCCTGCGCTTGCCTGAGGGAATGGGCGCGAAAATCTGTTGTAAGAGCTTGCTACAGCACCAATCGATCCAGCGCAGGCGCACTAGATCCCATTGGTGTGAAGCACAGAGACTACAAAGAAGATTATGATGTTACACTATTGCAAATAGTTCCAGCCCTAACAAGCAGCAGCCAAGGGAGTGGAGAAAGGGAAAACTCACAGCACTCAGGTTTTACATGGAGTATCACTAGGTATTATGGTTATAAATGTTACCTCTAGTTTAAGCCCGGTTCTAGACAATGACAAGACTTTAAAAAAGATTAAAATATTCATCTAAATAAAAAGAGGCACATAGCCTTCCCAGAGAACAGCAGGAAAGGCCCTTTGAAGGGACGGTTCAAGCATTTTCACTGTTTTAGTAGCATTTCACCATAAACGGACCAAACAAGGAACCACTAGGGAAGATCTGAAGGAAGCTGTAGTTACTGCCTTTAACAGCTTTGTAATTCAGCAGATGCAAGGGGCATAGTCAAGCAGATTTGCCAGCAGCTCAAGCTGCCAGGAAAAGCATGATACAGATTAACATCCCAGGCTAGAAATAGTTCAGAGGGTAACCATGCCAGTCTGTAGTACAACAGCTAGATTTGATTCTAGTAGCATCTTAGAGACCAACAAGATTCTAAGGGTATGAGCTTTTGAGAATCAGAGCACCCTTCGTCAGACTGGAAATGGTTCAGCTGTAATACAGGAGCAACAGGTGTCCTTGGAGGGATGTACCAGCAGCCTGGTGTGAATAGTTTAGGAGACACGGTATCACCTGAAATGCATCAGGACTTCCGCTACTGTCAACACAAAGGGTGCTGTAACAGTGACAAAGAAAGCCGGTGGGTAATTATGGCAGAGAAAAATGTAGTGCTCAAATGAGGCTTAAAATATGGGGAAGTGGCCTTTGAATTATCTGCCATCAGTTCCATGTTCTATTACGTGGTCGTGGGGGGGAGGGGAGGAAAAGGATGTTAAGAAGTACCTGCCGCAAAGCATACTGTCAAACTAGGCCGAAGCCTTGCCTTTGCTTCCGTGCCACCCCTCAGAATGCTTCTGTGTATATTTGAGAGTTGGGGAACTTGAGCTTTTCACATTCTCATTGTGTTTCCAGGTTGCCCCAACAACCCCATTTGTTCCTCGCAGCCCCAGAGCCATTTTAAATGTCAAGTCTATTACTCCCTGTTTTTGCTGGAAGACTGCTTAAAAGGAACATGCCAAAAGGAACATTCCTTAAGGAAGCAGCAGAAGGAATGTTGAGCCTCTAGTTTCAGATGCCCCTTCTTCCAGGAATTCATTGGGCATTTAGTATGAGATAGGTGTTAAGAGTCAGCTGTCAGTTTTGCTGGCCCTTTTGGGTCTCTCAATGTTTTCATCAGCATTTCTCTTACTATAAAACCTTCCAGGTTAAAGGCTTGAATTTTTAACAAAGGCAAGCAGATACAAACAGCTCTGACACAAAATCACTCCAGTCATCGTCATCTATCATAAAGAAGCAAAATGAGGGCACAAGTCCAACACTTTCTCCTTTGCAGGTCACCTTTAAGGTGTGTTTAAATATAGCCTCGCTGGATCCAAGATTGTGAGACCTGACGGCACAGGCTGAACTGCACTCCTGCTTCTAAAAGAAAATGCAGACATGACAGTTTTTCCTCAGAGTGTTCAATATTACAAGACAGAATATAAATATCACAAAACAAGTTAAGTATCTTTCCATCACACGAGTAAACAATCAAATTCACTTGAAAATAGTAACAACAAGGTTGAGCTTCAGTCAGAGAGAAGATAAAGTTATACAATGATCTAGCAGTGTAGTCATTATGAAAAATGAGGGTTGGAAAAGGCTGACACAAACCTAAAATACAGCAGCAATAAATACTTCATCTGACTAGCAATCTGTTTAAACAGCAGCATTGACCAAAAAAGCTCATGAAATGAAACAAACACTGACACCTAGTGGCTGTCAGGCAGGTGATAAAATGGCACATTAAGAAAACATTTAAGGCAACTAAAAATGTGGAAGGAAAAGATTATTTTTGGTCCAGCTTCGAATACCAACTAGGAAAATTATCAAGCTCTCCCTGTCACATATCATCCTATGTCCAGCAGCATGAAAATTGCTCTTGCTTTATCAGTACCCTGTGAGAAACTGGGACCTCTGGCCTCTCTCCTAATCCACCCTGTGTAACAACCACTTTTGTTCCAGTCTCTTTGACAGGGACTCACACCTGAGTGAATTACAACAGGATTTACAACAGATCGCTTCCTCTCTGCTATAATTTACCCTCTTTCCCCACCCTTTTTGTAACTTTGGTTATAAATATGTCTGCAAAACGATTACACACTCCATGCTTCTCATGAAGTGACGTCTAATTCATGAAAACTTATGCTGAAATCATGTTTTATTAGTCTTTAACATGTCACAAGACTCTTGTTTATGTTTTACTGAACAAAGGAAGTTGTAATGCTAGGCTAGGAAACAATGACAACACCAGGATAGTTTGTATGGTTTTAGGGATGTTATACCACAAGAGAGAAAACAGCAAGTTGAATAAAATAAAATAAAATAATAATAATAATAATAATAATACAAAGTAGTGAAAGTTTCCAGCCTAAAATATTATTTAAAAATAGACTGCAAGGCATTCTGGTATCACACAGATCTCACAGTACTTGTAAGACAGAGAATGGGCAAGGCAAGACAAACTAGTTATATTAGCAAAACAAATATCAGCAGGAAGAAAACAGCTTTCACCACTGAAACACTCAGTGGATATTCCATGTTTTGCAGTCACACTGTCAGTTTCTTAGACAATCAAATGGTTAGCCATCAACAGCTGCTCACTTCATATTCATTAGCAATTTTGTGGACATTTTAAATGTGAATTATTTTCTAAGATGGCTGCAGTTTGGGAGACAGGCACACCTATAGAGGGAGGCTTGCTGCTTCCTTACCATCTGTTGTCCATTGACACAAGAGGACCAACACAGCCCACCACCTACTAGATGTTAACTTAGGGTCACCACACAACTCTTAGGGGATAACTCTTTGAACAAAATGCATGGCAGGCCTAAGGGAAACAGTACCTTTCCCTAAATATTAAAATCAATAAAGGCAGCAGCCTTCCTTGGGGCTGAGGATGCTGTATAGACCAAATTCGTAACATAAAACAAAATGACAATTCACTCAAAGTTCACCCGACAGACAAGGCTAGCAAAACAAAGTTTACCTGACAGGAGCTGCTAACTGGTTCATCTCCATGCTCAGAGTTTTCTCCCGTGGCCGCATTCTGCTTTGGATTTTTGTCCAGTTCTCCATTTGCTGAGGAAAGAAGCCAAGCTACGCTCTCAGGTTCCTTTTTGTCGTCCATATCTTCTCTTTCCCGTTCATCCACACCTCTATTTCCCTTAAAACACTCTTCTTCTTCTGTACCGTGTTCACTTTGGCTCAAAGAACACGAGTTAGGAACAACTGGCTCCCCAAACTTCTTCTTCTGCAGGAGCTGCCTCTGAGCTTGTTTTAGGCTTTTCTGATAAACTTCAAGCTGGCACAAGATGACTTGGGTGTATTTATTGGGATCGACTCCTTTAGGGCAGAATGGGACACCCCAGTAATAGTGTACTGTGTCTTGGTCCTCTTCTTGCTTGCCCTCCTCATCTGCTGTTTGACATGTGCAAAGTGGTGGGGCATTTTCTGGCATTTCAGTCCCTTTCAGGGACCCGGTAGAAAGACCTGCCTTCTCCCTAGGCTGGATCTGTTGTTCAAGCTCAGAACCTGGACTAGTGTGGTGGTCCAGGGTGCTATGCTTCTGAGGCACTTTTACTAGGGCTTCTGAGCACCCAGGAAGAGGGTCTCCCTCTGAACAATTTTGGGAATGATTTTCTATTTTCTGGTTTGCCGGTTTTGAAGGGCTGCACCCTCCTGCAAAGAGGCGCCGAGGTGCCAGCGGCCAAGCACCCAGAGGCCTTCGGGGAAAGGTGGGACTTAAGGCAAATAGGTCTTGAAGACTGGGTGGCGTGTCACTGGAATCGCTGCCTGCTGGTGAGGAAGACCCTTCATTTGATCTTGCAGAAGGCTGGCTTTTCTCTGGAGCTACAATTATGCTAGAGACCAGTGAGCCTTCAACTATCTCCTGGCTCAACCTCGTCAGGACTACAAGGGGCCTCTTGGCGACATCTGTCTGTCCATTCTCATCAGCTTTGTGGCTGGGTGAGAGGGAGCTGCCCTCGGAGCAAAGAGATTCAGAGAGAGGCGGCGGGGCAGTGAGGAGCTCAGAATTCTCTGGTCCAGCTGGGTGGCTTGGCGCTGGAGACTCAGGCACCTGGGCAAGAGGGGGCTGAGCAGCTGCAGTGGAAGAATCACAGGGCTGGCAGCTCTAGAGGGGAGAACAAAACACAAACATGCACAAGCCGTTTGCCTTTAAAAAGGTGCACGCCTGTTTATTAAACTAAACTGACTATTATTCTACAGAGCAAAAGACAAATGGACATTTCCGCAACAATCTACAAAAAAAGGTAGATAAAGGTGAAATTCACCATTAGCCACCAATAATGGCACAATAAAACCTTTAAATGTGCTTGGAGCTCACCTCGTCAGACACATTTATGCCTCGTGAAAAACTGACTAGAATTCCAGCAGGAGACCTGCCCTAGAGGCACTCCTTTAGCACCATGGAGAGGGGAAATGGACAAGAACGGGGCATTTCTAGACAGCCCAAGTGTCTTTGCCCTACTTACACTGAGACTCTCAGCAATAGCCTTTCTCAGGAGCTCTTCCTCTTCCTCTTCTTGTGAGTTCAACTGCCTGGCTTCTTGCTCACTCATTTGCAAAGCCAGGGCAAACTGTTCATCTTCCGTCATCTCTGGAGAGAGAGCAAAATAAACAGAATAAAATAAAATGATGCAGCAGACTCTCGATTCTCACTCCCTCAAGAAGGTACCTAGGGACTTTCACCTTCACGGGGGGGGGGGGGACGGGGAGACGACTAAATTGGATCAAAGCTATTACATCTCAGCTTACTTCCTGTGCACCTTCAAAACTGGAACAGGCAGTGCTAAATGTAGAGTAATGCATTTTGGGCACTATCGAACCACTGAACCAAAAACAGGGCATTTAGTTAAGGGTAGCCATCATCATCTCAGCTCTGACTCCTGAGGTGAATTCGTCACAATGAAATGTTTTATCACATAATCACCCAGCAGTGGCCCCCAATTTGTACTTCCGCACACGTGCCTCCAAGAGCAGAGAGGCGAAAACGATGTAGACTTTGAAACCTGAGCTGTGCATGAACAGACTCCTTTGAGAAGGCATGGTCTTGCTGTCAAAGCAAAACGAAGCTCTTTTTCACACAGTACTGCTGTTAACTAAAATAAAGTCACAATGCTCTGTGACGTACACTGCCATGGAAACATATGTCTGAAATTTATTCATGCAAAGAACATGAGGAGAACAACCTGGAGACTGCAAAGAATGATCTTCAGATGAGAAACACCAAAACAACCAAAGACCCCTTCCCACGGGCTTAGTCAGCCAACTGCTCTTTGGTGCAACCTTTTTCCACTTAGGCACAGTGCTCCCTTAAAGGATTTCCCAGAACACAGTAGAAATCACAGTAGACTGTTTAAAAACAAAACCAGTTTGGAAACTAGCTGTTCACTGAGATTTCTGATCCACCACTGTTGCTCTGCTAAAAATAGCCAACCTGAAAAATAGAATGATAAGGAAACTCCGCAGCTTTCTGGGGATTTGGAGAGTACCCTGAAATGCTCTTCAGTCAAACCCTTCTAGGTTGGTTCTGAGCAGCCCTCTTTCACACACAAATGCCTCTCAAACAAAACTTCAACCAAACAAAAGCACCTGAGTCCACAATGCCATACTCAAGAGTTTAGAAGAGAGGAGACAACAGAGAGATTTTTGATCACCTCCCACAAGTGATGAATGCCACTGTGATTCCTTAATGCACTAATGAAAAGCATTTTGGCACCAAAAAGAACTAGAATTCAGTCTCAGCCTCCTGGATAGTATCTTGAAACAGACACATTTCACATGAGAAATGCTCTCAGACCAGACCTCATATATGGAATCCAGGGCCCCCATTTCTCAGCTAAAAGAAAAAGGCTGCCACTTTGGGCTAAGAAAGAAATGACAAAATACAGACTTTGTGACATCCGCTGGAGAGATCACAACTGTACTGAAGCAGCCCCATGTGACACAATGCAATGTTTCATTTTCCTCTGCTGCACGAGTATTTTTTCACCAGGGCTGAATGTAGCTATTTCTTCTGCATGTGGAAGTGGACTGGGACACACAATTACAGGCACTCCTCTGCATGGAAGTAATCTGATTTCCTTTTCCTTCGATGCTTAAGGGAAATGAGGGTCAAGAGAGAGTAACAAGAAGGCAGACAACAGCACTTGGAAGATCTGCAAGAAACTTCTGCCACACTATAGCTTTACTGGAGGGAGGCGGAAATCTTTATTACTATATAGGTGCAGGACTTGGAGATCCTGAAGATGACTGTGTAATGCACTCAAGCCAGTTTTAGTCAACTATGTCCAATGAAGAACATGGCACAGCTCAACTACTGGCAGAACATTTGAAAACAACTGGAACTGGTCTAATGGAAATATCTCAGGTAGGTTTCAAGGGTCTGAGTAATACTTACAGCCAGGGGTCATTTTGTAGAAAAAGAGGTGCAGGAGCTCATTAGCATAACTCATTAGCATAACTTATATGCCACACACCCTGACATCACCAGAAGTGTCAGAAGGCAACGGCCACCGCTCAGGCTCCACTGGACTCTTTTGGATTGCTAGCTTCAGGCTCCCCTGGACCTTTTTGGGTTTGTTGCGTTTGGGGGGGGGGGGGGACACATGCAGATTTGCCCTCACAGAGAATGGAGAGCTTGTACCTGAATAAAACTTGGCCTTAAAGGTGCCACTGGACTGTTTTGAATTGCTATCTGGGGAGGGGGAACTCTGCAACTTATCTGGCTGCTCCTTGTGGCCCCGGGGCTGCTGGGAGCAGGGGGCGGGGCTTGTTGCATGTGCCCGCCCCCTGGGCTCTTTACTGCCGGAGCTCCACTCCTGTGCGCTCCTGCAGGAAATGACCCCTGCTTACAGCAGCTCTGTAAGGTAGGCCAGTGTTCTTATCAGCATTTGATAAGATGGGAAGCTGAAAAAGCATGGCCTAGCTAAGACCACAGCGTGAGTTGATAGCAGTGGTAAGATTTCAACCAGTGAGCTCATGGACTACAGCTCATTTCTTAGTCACTATTCTAAAGCAACTCTCAGACAGGATCACAATCCTCAACGTTGCCTATCCTTTCTCATTCTCTGCTTTTGTTAAGGACATGTATTGGCTCAACCAAACTATCAGCCACCATGAAATGCAATGTAAATCAGACTCTACTTATAAAGCAATAGGGTGTCTTACGTTGTTCCCCTCCCAGTAAAATGGAACACTCCAGACAAGAATTCTGGCATTTCAGCCCATCAGAGTTCTGGCTTTATTCTGTTTTCCAAATACACACGTGCATTGAAAAGAATAAATTCTTTTCCCCCTACCCATGAAATCCACAACCTGCGTGACAGTGAAAGAAGCAAGCCGCTTCCCCGAGAGAAGCAGGGCATCTGTTCTGCCGAAACCATGCTGCGTATTCCTGGCTATCATGTATTATTCTGCTTAACATCTGATCATTTCTAAACGCTGTCTGCAAACGCTCACAATTTGTGTGTGCTTGATGTTGATTACATTGGTCATAATTTATGATGATTAGAAATTCTAAGTATTGTGTTAGCTTCCTAGTGGTGTGGGCAAACAGACTATTTAAGAACTCAGAGACACAAAAATAGAAGCTGAGATCTGAGATAAGCTCAGTCTGAATGGTTTGGCAGGTAGTCAGTGTAGCCAGGGTCCAGCAGACAGGGAATCATCTGCAAGCCAATTTGGGCACAAGCTATGTATAAGCACATATGTGCATGCAAACCCTGAATAGCTCCATTATCATGCTGGAAGAGGTTTTGTTTGTTTGTTAAAGCCAGCATAGATCCATTGTTCCAAAACTAGGTTTCCTGTATGTTGAACTACTAGATCTATGAGTTGTTAGAGCAGCCATTTAAATGCTATATGAAATGTAACATCACATGACTTACAGAACTAATCTCACCAAAGAAAACGATGCGAAGGGGGTGCAAGAGTCTTTGTAAAAGACATTCTAGCCTTAAACAAATTAAACCAGTTCAGAGCCTTTTTACATGCTAATATGGCAATTTACAAAGCAATTCATATTTCAGTTTGACATTTGCAAAGTGAATTAGATGCAAAGCTCCACCAGTTCAAGTCCTAGTGCTTACTAATAAAAGATTTGCAAAGAAAATAGAAATATTGAATCTATCACCCCCACAACCTGAGTGAAATTTACTGTATAGTACAAAGGGGGTGGGAAAGGATCCAATATGTTTCAGAAAACAGATATCAAAAAACATTAACAGGAAGATTTCAGTAGGTTTGCATATTTAATTTTACCCTGCCAGAATACTGTCATAGATTAATTTCAATTATAAACCACAAAGTTAGAAAGGAACAATGTAATTTATAATGAATACACACCAAAAATACCAGAAATGTTTCAGCATTGGAAACTGGCAACAGATGCAGGCCTTATTTTGTCTTGGGCTCTGAACCCCCTACACTCCAAGCATTCCCACCCTCCACAGGCTGCCTCTTCTTCAGGAGGCTAGTTTGTCATAAAAGCAACCCTTTAAACACTGACAATGATTTTTTACTCCAAATAAATGAACCTCAATTTGCCTAAAAATAAAATACCAAAAGGCTAATTATAGTTTCTAATAAATAAAAGAGCAGACATTTAAATGGATGTCCCTAATTAATTACTGTTAATTGACCGCTCTAATACGGCGGATACAAGAACTGCATCCAAAGTAGGAAACTGGAGGATATTCTCTACTTCGGTGCTAGCCAGCATGATCAGAAACAATCCAAGGCCAAAGTGGACCCAGGGTCCATTTTCAGGTTCAACGGGGCAAATGGATCCCGTGCACATAGTGGGGATCCAAAGCCAGTTTCAACATTGTACACACAGGTACAAATAGAGGATTTCATGTCTTTTTGCTCTCACTTGCGGACATGCATGTATCCTTTGCTTCCAGGGAGTACTGGGTATGACTCACTTTCTTGCAAATGAATCTACAAAACAAAACCTTTGCATTCTGCCTAGCATCTCTTGGACTTGGTGTGCACCTGTTCCAACCACTGTGTGGAGTCTATTCAGAAACGAATTCATTTTATTCTCACATCAGGTAGTGCCTGCAAACTGAACATTACTCACTATGGCATCATTCAGATGTAATGGCACTACAGACTGTCATTATGTGCAAGATCCTCAGGTTCACACACTCCCTCTCCCCTCCCCTTGTGCACAATCCAACTAAAGACTTCATCTTTCGAGGCAACCTATTGCTTGTCATTATGGTTCAGATGCAAACAGTATTTTGCTTTCTTTACTACAAACCAAGATTCCAAAATCTGGTCTAATCATGGTTCGGAATCCCGGTTTGTAGGGGAAAGCACAAAACAGAATTCACATTTTGATCACAAAGACAAATTAAAGATGTCTGCTTTCTGAGCAAAGCATGGTTAGTTGTAACCTTTGAACCATGCCTAAAAATCTTCTAACTGGAGCAAGTAGTCTCTAGAAAGCACTGCAGGGAATTTGAAGGAGGAGCCAGTTTGGTGTAGTGGTTAAGTGCGCGGACTCTAACCTGGGAGAACTGGGTTTGATTCCCCACTCCTCCACTTGCACCTGGCTGGATGACCTTGGGCAAGCCGTAGCTCTGGCACAGCTGTTCTTGAAAAAGAGCAGTTTCTGTCAAGAGCTCTCTCAGCCCCACCTACCTCACAGGGTGTCTGTTGTGGGGAGGGGAAGGGAAAGGAGTTTGTAAGCCGCTCTGAGACACCTTTGGGTAGTGAAGGGCGGGGTATAAATCCAATCTCTTCTTCTTCTCTCTCTTCTACTGGGGAGAGCAAACTGTGCAGAATAGTATGCATTGGGAAATGGAAGATCCTAGAATCATACCAGACTAATTTCACTTTATCCATAGAACAAGTGATCCATAAAGCTAACAACAGCAAGAAACCCAAATGCATTCTCACCCTAATGACTAAGTTATAAATCAGAATATTTTGTGAACAAAAACCACACTATAAAGGGCACCACCTACAGTTGTGCCAAGATGGGGCTGAAGAGATAAGCAGAATCTGACAACTGCCACTCCTTCCTCTTTTACCCAGGATTCCCGTCTTCCAGTTGCCATTCAGTATAGCCACGAGCAAAGTCACTATCCAAAAAGCTACAGTAATGCTAAGGCTTTGCACACCCCATGGAAGTCTTGGGTCTTCATAAGCCCTCTCTTTTTTATGCAATAAAACCCACTCAATGCCACTGCAGTTATGAAAGTTTGTTCATGAGATGCTATAAAGACTGCTATGGTAGCAGTCTATGCCATGTAGAAAGTTAAGTGGCAAGGCTGAGATGTGTTCTCCCAACACAGATGTCTGCAAAAGTACACATAAGAGGAAAAGGTACAAAAATCTGTGCACTGTTCATTCTCCACTTCCCCCTTGTACAGAACACGTGAGACCTACGTGCAATTTTTCTCTTTGCTGCAAACTTCGCTCTATCCAGCTGCTGCTTTGTTCTTTTCTTCTGCAGATCACACTCCTCCTTTGACTCTTGCTGCAGAGGAAGAAACAGAATAAGTATATAAACTGCAGGAGATGCTTCTGTTTACCACCCTTCCCCCTCCCACCCCACTCCTCCTGTATCACCTTTGTCCAAATCTTGAAGACCAGAAGGGGGGGAAGAAGAAGTAGCTAGCACAAAGACAGAATTCTCAACGGGTGAGAAATGCGACTTTCAGGCACTAATAAAAGAACACTCCGGAGCTATTAAAAGAACCATGTGATGATATAATGAGCACCAAGAGATGCAGGCAACACGTGTAAACAGATGAGCAGCAATGGACAGTAGACTTCACATCATTCACTGCCATGCAGCACACCTTCTGCATAGGGTTTTAAGAGAACTGTTTTGCCACTCCACTCCCTTCCAGAAGTCCTAAGCACTGGAAATGGGGGGGGGACCCTCTACAAGATCCTCCAGCAAGCATGTCTAACTGGGCAGGGAATGTTCTGTAGTCCAGCTGATAAGTCTTCATCCACCAAAAGTTACTTAATCAAAGAGAAGGGGCACTTGGTTAAAATAAATAAAATAAAAAGCACACTGTCTAATACCACTTGCTATTAGACACATTGCTCTACTACTATCTCTCATATTTCAGTTGAGTAACTCCATTCACTCCCATAAACAATTCTTATCCTTTGAGAAGAGAGGGTCACATCTTTCAAACAGCTATCATGCTACAGCCTCCCTGAACTGTCAAGCAAGTGCATTTTTAAGAGTCAACGGTGTGAACATTCATCAGGGGCAGTTAAGGTCTGGAGAGAGAAAAAAGGAACAATGGAAGTACAATTGCAAGCTACAGAGGAAAAACTAGAGGAACTGAACAAGAATGATACAGCTACTCAGGAATCTTTTTTAATGATCTGACAGCCTAAAATGGAAACTTACCAGAAGGGAAAAGATGGACAGATTGCTAAAGCCAAGTATACTGGTACAGCATTAAAAAAAAGAGGCAAACGTGAAAAATGCATTGCAACTAGCCAGGGGTGCTGGGAACAATCCGAAGGGATTTTACCAGGGCTCTAGTCGGGGGGGAGCTCTCAGGTACGGAGCTCCGGAAGAGAACCTCTAGGGGGCGGGGCGGTCACGTGGTGAAGCCCCGCCCCCTTCTTTATCCCGCCCTCTGCTTCGATCCTCATTCCGTTTGGGAATGAGGATGAAGCAGGAGGGTAAGTAGCCGGGCCTTCTGACACACTTCCGGTGATGTCAGGGGGTGTGGCCTTCTGTCACTTCCGGTGATGTCAGGGGGCATGGCATATGCAAATAAGTTATGCTAATGAGTTATGCTAATGAGCTCCGGCAGCTCTTTTTCTACAACAAGACCCCTGGATTTTACAAGTATATTATGGGGGGGGGGAGATAGATTGGGGCTGTTGCTTACATCAGAAAGAGAGTATAACGGGGAATACAAAAGGGAAAATATACATTGCTTGATACACACTTTGCAAAAGTCTTTTTTTAAAGTCGCCAAAAACTACAAGCAACTTTGACTGTACCGAAAAGGCCATACATACCGAAAAAGCATACTTGGTTTATCTGAATGTGACATTCATTACTCTTGAGGATCCAACATGAGGTGCATTGCCCCTGAAGGAAGAACAACTAGAGAGCCTGTCGCTGAAAGGGTGGGGGGAGCAATTTTAAACCAAGCATTTAGAAGAAAACAAGGCCAACGATAGCAGCCAATAGGGTTATATTATAGAAGAAATCACACCAAGCTAACTTTGTTCTCTTCCCCTGTCTATTAACTGATTTAGTAAGCAGGGGGAATACAAGCATCCAAATGTACCTCGACAAAGATATACAGCCCATCACATACACATTACCAGCAGTAACATTGTAAGGGCATGGAGCTTGTTCCCATTCTATAACCAGGAATAGGGAAGCTCTGTTATTGGACGTGGGCTGTTTCATAGGCTTTAGATGTCAACAAGGATATTGATCCACAACCAAATTACATCCTCCTAAGCATGCATGGATTGTGTGAATTAGATGGAGCGACCACAAAGTGGCTAAAAATAACTGCACTTAGTGAATAATAATAAATTGACACAAATGAGAAAATAGGATGCAACTGGAGTTGTGCAGCAGTTAGTTCTCGAGCCTGCACCATTTTGTTTCACAAATAACTTCTACACAGAAGCTGACAATACATTTATCAGATTTGTGGATGACTCCAAAAGTGGCTGGGATAGAGATGGGGGGAGAAAGACTATATTGTAAACATTTTAAATGATCTGCATAAGCTTGCAGAGGGGCTTCTGGACTGGTATAGTATAGCCCAGGGGTGGCCAAACTTGTTTAACGTAAGAGCCACATAGAATAAATGTCAAATGTTTGAGAGCTACAAGGCATGAACAAATATTACAAAAATATTACAAAATATGCAAATTTGCTTTTTACTAACATTAAATAAAATAAAGACAAAAGGGGTAAAATGGATATTGATAATAATATTTATTTGTCCAATGTTCTTTATTTGTTTGCTAATGATATTTGTCTAAGAGGGGGAAGAAAGAGAGAGAGGTGGAAAGAAAGAATGAAAGTTGGAAAGAGAGAGAAACAAGAAAGCAAACAGATGGGGGAAGGGAGGGGGAAGGGAGGGGGGAGAAAGAAAAGTGGAAAGAAAGCAAATAGATAGGAGAGGGAGGAAGGGGGAAGAGTGTGAGAGAGAAACAAGAAAGCAAATAGATGAGGAGGGAGGGGAGAAAGGAAGGAAGAGAGAGCAAGAGAGAGAGAAGGAAAAAAGAAAGGGAGAAAAAGAAAAAGAAAGGTGAAAAGAAAGAGGTGGCAAGAAAGCAAATGGGGGGAGGAAGGAAGGGGAAAAGAGAGAGACGTGAAAAGAAAGCAAATAAATGGGGAGAGGTGGAAAGAAAGCAGCTTCAACTTTAAATGTGTTTTCCAATCACCCTAACACCCCCACACCAGCTGGCTTGGAAAAGGGATTTAAAGAAACAAATGCCTTCTCCAAGCTGGTGGGTGGGGCCACACGGCGGGGGGGCTTGGAGAATGCCTTTTTCTTTAAATGTGTTCCCCAAGCCCCCCACCCCTGCTGCCATGCTGGCTTAGCTTGGAGAAGGGATTTAATGAGACAAATGCCTTTTCTGAGCCAAGCCAGCAGGCTGGTGGAACATTGGGGTGGGGCTTGGAGAACACATTTAACTTTAGAGGGGTAGGGAGGGGAGAAAGAAAGTAGAAAGAAAGCAAATACATGGGGGGATGGAGAGGTGGAAAGAAAGCAACTTTAAATGCATCCTCCAAGCCCCCACCCACACACCCCCACACTGGCTGGCTTGGCAAAGGGATTTAAAGAGACAAATTTTAACTTAGTTGCTTTCTTTCACTGCTCCCCCCCACACACACACCTCACACCTACCCAGGGAGAGGAACACTGGCTGGGAAGGGAAGACCGATCAGGGAGGCATGCTTCCCCTTCGCTTCCCCAGCCGCCCTGCCGGGAGCCACACAATATGTGTGAAAGAGCCGCATGTGGCTCCCGGGCCACAGTTTGGCAACCTCTGGTATAGCCCGATCTCGTCAAACTCAGAAATTATGCAGGGTTGGAACTTGGATGGTAGACCACCAAGGAAGGCTCCACAGAGGAAGGCAATGGCAAACCACCTCTGCTTCTCACTTGTCTTGAAAATCCCTTGCTGGGGTTGCCATCCGTCTGCTGTGACTTGATGACACTTTATTCACATGCATAAGCTTGGAGACTGTTGCACAGATGACAGTAAAAATGAAAATTAGCAAGTAAGTATAAGAACCAGGTTAACTAACTAATTAGGCAGTGGCATTGCTGAGAAGGAATTCGATATTACAAGAGGTAGCAAAGTGGAATTTAGTGTCAACACACGGCAATGCCAGAACTTACTAAGTTAAAAAAATAAAGCTGGACAAGATAGATCAGGGATGCTTTAGATACAGGTTAAGCTGTCTCAGAACAGTGGGTTTAACGGGCTGACTTCTAATGTCCCTTATAGTTCTAAGATTTGGCTTCACGACTGCCTTCAGACATAATGACAACCCTGCCTAGGACATTCTTGGGCTTGCATGCTTCACTCCCCATAGTTTATTATTATGTCCAAATCATGGTTGGTTTCTTACATACAAATGAGGTTTGAACCATGGAGTGGAACACTGGTTTGGAGGCAAAATACATCATAGTGTGTGTTTCAGAGGTCACCAAGAGTCTTCCGTTCCCAAGCTGCTAATGAGGGAAGACGGGAGCCCATAGATTTCTAAGGCTCATTCTTATCATGACAAACCACAGTTTGTTATTATGTCTAAATGCAGCCAAAGAATCCTACCATCATACAGTATTGGACTAGACCTCTGAAGTCCGTTTCAACCATATGATTCTACATATTCACATATAGTATATTCTGGCAACACTATTCATACACATGTGCTTGGATGTATTGGAATTCAGAGAGCTGTATATCCACATCAATCTGTTAACATTGTGCAAGGTTTCTACCTGCCTTCATGGCTTGGGGACTGAATTCCTCCAGTCAGACTAAACTTTTAAGCAAAAAGCATACCAATGTGGGGCACAGTTGCTGTACAAGCAATCATTCCCCCAGTACACAATGCACTGATGCCATATGACTGCTTTAAACCACCAATTTATTTATTTTATTTGCTTTTGGCCTTCCATTTCATGGCAATGTTTACATTTTTTAGCCCCCTAGGTGCATAAGTTATATTTTCACAGACTAGGTCTAATTTTCTTATTTTCTGCCCACATTTTCTAATTGCCCCTGGAATCCTCTTCTACAACAATAAATGCTTGCTGTTTCCTACTATTTACCACCACCTGTGGATTTCATTAGCGTACAGATTCTGATCATTACCGTGCATGTTAAACACAAGCAACCCTGACACCAGTCCCATCCTCCCCACGCTAGTGCTCAGAACCAGTTTCATGGCTGTTTCCTGCTACCCTTTGTTTACAGTTTTTAGAAAATCTCATCTCAGGAGTGTACCTAGCC